TCTTCCATCTAATTTATAGGATATTCTGTTCTTTCTTAACGTAGCCTTTTGAAGCAGTTCAACATGAAATACAATATTAACATGTTTATTGGGCTAGGGTTAGAGAGAAGATGATTCCGTCATTTTGGATTTTGTGTGAAGGGACCACTGGGAGCCAGTGATTGCAATGAGATCTCTGAGCACACCAACCAATTCATCATTTTACAGACTACTTCCGTAACAAACATGGAGCTAAAATTAACCTTGTGCTTCTTTTAAAGTCCATTTGACAGGTCTAGTCTTGAAACTTTAAGCAGTGAGTTCAGGCCAAAGACATCGGCAATACAAATTTTAGAGTAAATAATTAAAAATTCTGAAAATATCTCTCTAGTGCATTGCCAGAAAATTGTAAACAATTTTGTTTCACTTTTGATCTCTAAAAAAATTTGTTTTATTTTTTTAATGCAGTTTTTTGACTCTCCCATATATTCTTCTGAATTCATAACCCATATTTAGTTTAATTATTGATAGTGCTCATTTTTGAGATACCTAGTTAGAAAGCTGTACATTTCTGTAGTACCTCAACTTTTCAAATTCTTACCTACTTCTGACCTGTGCTGGCTGGGAGTCGACTTGGCAGCTTGTGCTTGGAAAGTGGTTTGCTTCCTTTTGTCAACAGTACAAGAAAAATCTCTTTTTATAAACGGACTCTTTCCTTAAGGTAAAAAACAAACTCTAAGAATGTGAAAATAAGTAAACAACAACAAAACTGTTCCCAGCAAGAAATTCTGTTTTGAACTAGGTGTAGCATGTTTTCCTCTCGTATCAGCGCAGAGGGGCTTTTCAAGTGTACAAACATTGCAGTTGCAATCTTTTACCATCCGGCTTTGATCTTGTCTTGGTCCAGAATGATTCTAACCTCTTTCTAATTAGATCCAGTGAAAGAAGTGCAAGGCAGAGACACCTCTTTCAGCTTGCAGACTTTTCTTTATACCTGAAGCTCAAGAATCAAAAGATTTTCTGCCCTTTAAAATCCACTGGAAATAGAAGCTGCAGGGCTGATATTGTAATATGCCTTTTTTCTGAGTTTGTAAAGTCATCAGGCTTATATCCATGAAACTATTAAAGTGCCTTTTATCTGTGTAGGTACACCTGCAGGCATTTTTGAGGATGAGAAACGTGATGTGTAGTACTGTTGATTTATTTTTTGAATAGATTATTCAGGCAAGAAAATACAAATATGTAACTAAGTCTCTCCAATTTTTGAGACCTTTTTTTTTCCTCACAGCAAGACAAAAATTGCCCAAAGTTCATTTAAGAAAAAAAAAAAAGGACCCATGCATGAGATCACCTTTATCTGTTGATACAACACTCAGGTGAAATACCCGCAATATCCACAGAAGTAGTTCTCTTATTTAAAGTGTCAGTATTTCTGACGCTCCAGTCTCAAGTGAGTTTTTATCAAAAATAAAAAGGTAAAGGCGGCACACAGGTGCAGGTGCACTTCTTGTTTTAAATAGGGATTCTCATGAATATAGGAAAGGAATCATACAAGTCATAAAATGTGACCTGCAGTTCTGTACCTGGAACACAGAGCGCCTGCCTGTCCAGACAGCAGTATCTTTTAAGGTATCATAATCACGGATGCATTTGTAATACCACAAATCTCAGTCCCCTCCTCCCCGTAGTGTGCCCACGTGTGCAGAGCCTAACTCAAGTTCCTTGGTCGTGCTGCCTCCCAAACCATGCCCAAGCTAAAATCCTGCTAGGACCGCTCGCACAGTTTAATAGCACAGATCAATGCCTAGAAGCACCCCACAAATTAAATTTTCTAGCACAGACGTAGCAATTGAGGTTGGAGGTGGCTGATGTTGGCTTAAATAGGTTCAGGATTCATGCTGATAACTGGGGTGGGGTTTTGGGGGGTTCGTTGGTTTTGGGGGGGTTTTTTGGACAAGTCTTCCAGAAAGAATAAAGGAGGACTAATGAACTGTATCAGCACAGAAGAATGGTTCAAACCATTGTTTCCCAGTTGTAAAATAAAAATCAACCAGGTTTCCACCTTCCCTGATTTTATCCCAGGTATTTCAGGGGTTAGCAATTGCATTTTATGATGTCTATTACAGGTCCACCTTCACATTAACTATAAGCATCTACCTCCAAATGTTTTGTGTGTAATAACAGCCTTTCTCCCTTTTCTAAAAGAATCATTTTGAACCGAGGTGGACAGACGTGTGGGGATAAAACTTTGACGTGGGTGCTTCAAATGGACCTTGATGTTCTACACAAGCTGAGTTGTCAACTGGTTTTGATTGCTTTTCATCAAGAGTCGAGTTTATTAGTTTTGTAGCTGAATATACAAACAGCACAAGCTTATTTGAGGAGTCTTAGTTTATCGTAAATTAGGGCAATGAATTCCAAAGCTCTGAGTCACAACCTGCGTTGTTAGGGGAGTAAAACTGGATTCTTGATAGTAATGGCATAAAATTAAAATATAGTAGAAAATTACTGGGAAGAAATTTCTTTATTGAGAATAGCTTGAAAAGCTAATTTAATAATGAATTAGTTTATTGCTAACTAAAAACATAATAACTTGATAAGAGGGAAATTATTAAGCAGTTTTAATTGTTAGAAACTGTAATTCCTCAACTAAAAGGAGGCTCAACTAACTAAAAAGAGGCTTCCCTTTTCAATTGTTTTGCAGTCTTAAAAGTGTAAAAGTCACTTAAAACTAGCTTTGGTCACGAAGCAGATTTTTATTATTATTATTTTTCTGCATTGATAGTGTGAATGAGAAATGCTTTTCATCCTTTATACCTTCTGTATAAAAAATAATTGAACAATTAATTTTTAAGTGTTTTAAGTGTTTTTAAGTGTAATTCTCATCATTGTTTCATGGGTGACAGTATGTAAGAGTTCCACCAAGGACCTTTAGGGACTTCAATTAAACAATATTTGGTACATGCTGTGCAAATTGTAGTTTTAATGGATGAGTGAATTACTAAGGTGTGGGTTCACTGCTGCATCACTGGAGTGAAGTACTGAAACCACAGCTGCTGTTTTGAAGTCTGGAACCATCCTTCCTGAGCCGAAAGATCGAGCTCTCCCACCAAAGGCTCCACGACGTCCTTACAGAGCTTCTGTGTCGCTTTACCGAGTGAAAGGCCTTTCCAGGCGGGAGGCGGTTAAATGATGCGTGCGAACTCCCTGGCTGCTTCTTGCCTCTTTCTGAGAGTTTTGCTTTCTTTGCTCAGTGACCTTCAGTGCAGACGCGTTTCCTTGTGCTGTGCTTCCTGGGCATTGTCTGTCTGGGAGCAGCGGCAGGACCAGTGTTTGAGTAGCAGTGTAACGGCTCGGCAAAGAAATGCCGAGGAAAAGAAATGCTTCAGGAAGTGGGTTTGGAGTGATTGTCTCTCATCTAAATGTTGATCTGGGCTGAGAGGGTATCAAAGCCTGCTCTTATGAAAGGGTTTGCCACACTGACATGTCCAGGCTCCTTCCAGTTAAGAATTGCATGGCATGATTTGTAAGACAAATAACGCGTATTCCTTCTTTCCTGGCCGTATTTCATCTGATCTGCTTCCTTTCCACTCCTTCTCGCAAATACAGCCTCTCTTGTTTTCATTTGGTATAAGGGTGTGTTCAGATTCGCTTCCACTCTAACAGATTGCGCTTCTTGGCTGTGCAGGGTTAGTGGAGGGAATTGCTGTCTTCCAGGAGATTGTTTTACCAGAGGAGGGAGAGACTTTCGTGAGTAATGGTATATCAGAGCTGTTAGCTGTGCTGTGTTGGCATGCAGCAATGTACATGGGTAGTAAATGTGTATTTTCTCCCATTCTGCAAATGAACTGGAATATAGTCTGAGTCTTGTTTGTTAATAATCTCAGCCTTGTTGTTGTTGTTTTGGTTTGGTTTTTTTTTCCCTGAGAAACTGAGCATGCAGCATAGCCAGTGTGTTCTCTTTCTGGTCTGCTGCCTCCTTTTTATAACACCTGGGAGTGAAATCCCTTGGTGTGCTGGTAAAGGCTGAGACATTCAGCGAACACGTGGAGCATCTGTTGATTCAGAATCACTCTTCTGTGTTTACGTTATTCAGAGGGGTCTTGAAGCCTTAGGCTGCAGTGGTGTGCAGTAAATGGGATAATAATGGCACATGGTTCCACCTGGCACTAATTATATATATAGTGAAATGGAACATGGTAGTCAGTGGCTAATTCTCCTACACTTCTGACTTCAGGAATTTACAACTTTTGCAGAGGAAAGTTTAGGTTTTAATTATTGTTATTTTTGCTTCCTCTGTAGCCATGTCAACTTTTTAAAGCAACAGTATGTTAAATGCAGCTGAAAATATAATGTATGGAATACATTAGGGGTTTGATTTTTCTAGCTTTTTACGTTTTTGACATGAAAATTAATATTCCAAACCAGCTTTCTAAATTGGTTAACTTGAGAGACTGCATAATTTGGGGAAGAAAAGGAGAGCCCAGTTCTTAGTTCTACCCTGTGTCGAGCTGCTCCCAGGGTCTAGGCGGGCTCCACATCCCATCTCCCTCTGTGTCTAGAGGTGCCAATTTCCAGGCACAAGCCAGCCAAGCTCCCCTGCTGATTCGGTTGCAGATTTCTTTGTGCTGTCTAAGAGAAATTGTTATCCTCACTCCAATTTGGTCACTGGGTTTGAAAAATCATCTGAAAATACTGTGATCGTACCTAGCCCTTTGGGGGTAGGTATGAGCAGCCCAAAAGCTTGTCAGTGCCGTCTTATTACCACTGCTCCAGATCTGTGTGATACATGCATGCTTGAGTTTTTATATTTTCAGCTAGGTCTCTAAGATTTAAAAAAAAAAAAAGAGAAAAAAAGGAAAAAAAAGAAAAAAAAAGAAAATACTATTCAGCAATAGAAAGTATTAATAACTTTTGTCTTCTCTTGGTCCAAAGGAGGCCTTTTAGCTTTTATGTCTGCGTCTCCTCCATGTGTCCTTAATGTATTTTAATAATTCTTCTGTCTCTTATTTTGTTCACAGCCTACATGCTGACACACTACCAGTTTTGTTTCCAAAAGAGGAGTTCACAGAACTACACAGTGCCTGATCCAACTAGCCGCTTTGATGTTCCTCACTGGACCATGTAGGTAAAATTCAAAGAAACATATATATTCACATTATATCTTTCCAAGTATTCAATATATCGGGAAACAGCTGATTTTTGGCAACAGTGCTTACTTTGCGAAGTCAGGGTCTTTTGGAATTTATGGACCATAAAATCATTTATTAAGGCCCTCCAACTTTGCAATGTGTTTTATCATCAACAGACACACAACTGTAGACCATCATATGTCACAATGTGTTTGGTGTCCTTGCCACATCTATTTTAAGTTGTTGTGGGTGCTGGGAACAGTGATGCCTGTCATTCCTGTAGGCGTACCTGAGCTAACTTCAATAGCAGCTACAGTGGTGCAAATTTCAGCTTAGGCACAAAACCCGGCAGAGGAATTAAATAAATTCTCAAGCAATTGGAAAACCTTGAGCTTCTTGTTATTACAACTGCACAGCTAGCAGAATAAGAGCTAGGCAGGGTAAGAGCTAGGCTGAACAGGTTTACATGAATGAACCTCAATGCTTGTCATAAGAACAGTAGAGGAGTATCATGGTATTGGTAATCAGGACAAAGATGCCTTCAGGTTATTCCTGTTGATCATCTTGAGCTTCTGCACAAACCTTCAAGGTTTCTATGAGTTTCAGACAAAATTAAAAATGTAGCCAATATTCCACCTCCAGGATTTCCCTGCAGAATAATTCAGTCTTGCTATAGTAGAGGTGAGAATCCAGCAAGTTAAATTCAATTTCTTGAAAAGTGAGTTTTTCCTTCTGGTTTTGATATGCTAGCTTGGTTTAGTTTCAACAAGTCTTTACTGTGAGAGTAAATGCAGGCAAAGAACTAAATTGTTCTGATTAAATTGCCAGTATTCATTATCACTTGACTGCTTTCTCCGTTATATGTTACGCTGTTTTATGTCTCAGTTGCAGTGGCATTTAAAATAATTTACATGAATTGCTAGGCTGCAGCGTTTATGTCTACGTTACAGTTGGTGTTTCTTTTACATTCCTTACACATTTCTGTAAAACTTCCACCTTGGTTTACATTTCTAATTTTGTGGAAATGAACTGTAAATATGGATATGTAGCAGTGGTGTAGATGGCCTGTATTTACACATGCTGGCACACTCTCCTTACACAGAAAACAGCTCTCCTCACATACGTGCTTTAGGGACTGTGACACTGACAGTTTATTGTGATTGTTTCTGGAGTGTCTTGCGATTTCAGTCGCTCATTTCTGTCTGGAGAAAGCTTCTAACCAAGTCACCTCAAGAAAGCATTTTCATAGCATACTGGCTGGATCTTTATGGCTTCAATACTAACAACAGATGTCTCAGATGAATCCTGAAATGATGCTTACCCCTGCTTTCATATCCTGAAATTAGGACATGGTATCTTGCACACTGTTACGCAGCTGGCCGTATTCAGTTACAGTTGGTTTTGCCTTTCATGTTGCGTTGATCATATTCCAGCTTTACTTAGATGTTTTTTCAGGTATTTTGTGTAAGGTGAAAGGTTGTGGGTTTGGGCGGGGGTTTTTTTGCGGATGACAGATTTTCTATGAATAAAATACTGAAAACACATAAATTTTCTGGTTTACTAATTAAATTTAAATTGTCACAATTCATAAGTGGGTTGCTAGCTCTAGATTGTAGAAGACATTCATGTTCCCTGTTGTGAGTATCCAAAATCTTCCCCAGCTGTAACTGATGGGCAGGAAAATAATCCCAAAAGACATTTATTGTGCTGGAGAGGGTGTCGAGTCTGAGGAGAATGCCTTTTCTGTAGGTATCAGTGGCACAACTACTCCTTGGCAGGAAATTTTTTAATTGGTGCCAAAGTTCAGAGTACCCCAAAGGAACTGGAATTGAAATCTATTCAGTTTTACCCTAAAAGGAAAGTAACAAAGAAAATACCTGAATAATTAACTTCTGCAAATTTTGTTACAGTCCACATCTCTCCCCTGTAAAAACATGTCTTATTTGTCACTTAGAGTCTGATGTGACAGTGGGGAAACAGTGAGCAAAAAATAAAGGGTTAAAGCATCAAACCATATATAATCTGTCTGCAAGAAATGTAGTAACAAAGTTTTCGGAAAGCCAGAGATTAATATCTTTTTTTTTCTGATACTAAATTAACAACAGCAAAGCAATTCATGCAAATAAATCTAATGGATTGTTTTAGATTTACACTACACTGTCATGCTACCTCTTAAGGGATTATATGTATAAAGAAATAATAAAATAATGTGCTTTACTGCCCACAAATGGGCAGGGCATTAAACAGAATTTGTCAGTTCATCTGAACACATTACATTAGTCAAGAGGAGCAGCATCATTTTGCTTAGCAAAGGTACATTAGCTTAGCTGTTTGGGCTGTCAGAATCTTAAAATCTTGCCTCAAATGCAAGGGTAATGGTCACTATGACATGCATTTGTCATTTAACACAAGCAATGCTTGTGCTTTAGTAGCTTTTAGCAAAGTATAGATGTCTGCAAAGGTTGTGGTACAGGTCAGCACTCTAATACAAACTGCAAATTCTAACACAATTGCTGTAACTTTCAGTTGTGAACGAGATAATGTCTGACCTAAGAAGAACCAGAGGAAATGTCTTTTCTTAGACGGTTTGTACAGCATTATATTCATGTTGATTTTTAAAAAAAAAAAAAAGTTCATGTGTTAAAATTCATTCATATTTGTTACATATAATCATAAATGTAATTAAAAATATTCTTTCTACATTTAAATATCTAGCTTAAACTTTGTGCTATTGATAAAATCTACTAAGTCGAACAGAAGTTTTAACTCCAGAGCATTGATGTTTGTTTTATAGAGTAGTGACACAGGAATACTTGCTCCTATACATTTTCCCTTGAAAAATGATTCACGCTTTTAATCCAAAGCTAATAAGAACTTGTATTTTTATTTATTTATCTATTTATTTATAGGTTTTGGTAGTAGGTTAGAGCAGAAGAGTAGCTTTGACAAAAGGAATAACCAATTCAAAGCATATGTAATTTGTGATTACGGCTGTCATGAGTTCATGCTCTAAGCAGTTGCACAATCAGCCAAATCTTACAGTGCTCACTTGCTTAGTCCCTTTGAAATGACTTGGCTTGACATTATTTCAGGAGAAGCATCACAGCTTAGACCATTGTATATCTATGGCTGGTGCATTGAGTTAATGGTTCATCCATGAAGGTAGGGTACTATTATGCTTTAAAAAGATGATTAATGACCAGAATTAATTTTCTAGAGACAATTTTCTCTTTTTCTCTAGTTATTTAACTGAGTCTCTGCAGTAGCTATTGATGGTGAGGAGAGCACATAGACTGGGGTTCAATTTATTCATTCATATTTGCTTATTTATTCATAAATAATTTTAATTACTTGGAGGAAAAAAGGTGACACAAACTGGTCATTTGTAATTTGCATCCTGAAAGAAAGTGTACTTTTTATACCAGAATTAAATTTTTTAAGGATTTGTGATTTAAATGAAAGATGGAAATATTTACATATTTAAATTTAAGTATACAAAGTATAATTGCTCTCAGCTGAAACTCCCTCTAGGGTATAGTGTAAACAATTCTTCTTTCATTACGTGCATTAAAAACTCAAGTGGAGTGATTATAGCTGAGTTCCATTCCCTCTGAAAAAACATAACTTTTATCAACAAAGATCTTTCAATACCTTTTTCTGGAGGGAAGACTATTAGGTTTTGGAATTACAAATTTCTATTTTCTCTGGCATTTTAAAAAAATCTTGCGTTTTCTTGTCACGTACTTCACCAGCCTGATCATGTTTAACTTGTGAGGACTGACTAGTTTGCAGCAGTAAGTGGTATGTGAGATACAGGCTTGAGAGATATAGGAAGAGCACGATTTCCATAACCACTTCAAAGGAATGATTTCCATAATTACTTCAAAGGAAATACATTAAAAAAAAAAAAAACATTTCTCTGGGGGCTTATAAAACCATTCTGTTTATAATTTAAATTACATTAAGCTAAATAAAATAGTACAGTAAAACCCTCAAGTTTCCATAATTACTTCAAAGGAAATACATTAAAAAAAAAAAAAACATTTCTCTGGGGGCTTATAAAACCATTCTGTTTATAATTTAAATTACATTAAGCTAAATAAAATAGTACAGTAAATCCCTCAAGGGAAAAATACTTCATTTAAGTTTGAACATTACATTAATTCGATTAATTGGAAGTATTTTATTCTCTAATAGTTTATTTTTCATTGAATATATATAATTAAAAGTATTGTCATTATAACAGGAGCCATTCTTTCCCATTTTGTGTTCCTTCTGTTCAGTAGATCACTATAGTTTTATTTGCCTACCTTCCTTCATTTCTCACTGCTTTATTCCTGGTGACTAACCCTCTGAGCATCAGTGTATGACGAGATTATCATCGCTGTGTTGCGCGTGTTCAACTTAATCAAACTCATACTGGAACTGAGACTCTCAACCAGCCTGAAGTTTTGTATCGAAACCACGGAGTGTGAGGCTTTCTTCTGTTGGAATATTTTAGAGTCTGCTTGTCCAAACCATGCATGTTGCTTTTTCCAGGGTCCTCACAGGGGTAACTGTTGAGCAGGGAGGCAGAGAGGAGATGCTGTACATACATATGTACATGCATATATGCATGTGTGTGTATTTTGTGTATCTACAGATTTAAGGTCATGCATGTTTGTGCATGTACGTGCGTATAATTTGCTGGTATACATATGGTTTCCTTTCTTTTCTTGCTATAAATTTATGCCTATTCAGTTTCATATGGGAACCTGATAGGATATTCCACTGTAAGTCATATGAAGATAATATGACTTCCAGGAAAGGGTGACTAGGAAAATATTGGAAAACCTCAGTGAACTAATTGTAATTGATCTAATTATAAGAGTGATTTATTCCGCCTTCCCCCTATGTCAAGAGACCATACAGGCTGAACTAAATCAGGTTATCATTCTTAACAGCATGGAAGGCAGTAAATCTGTAGTGCCGAGCTCCTCTAATATTGACAGC